TTCATTGAATGCTCATCTGGGGCCTGACACACTTTGGGGTTATTTTTTTCACCAATCTAACCTATCAATGATCGCCATTATTCGCTGTTTTGATAACGGTCCTTGTTATAAATTGCATCTCATACATGGCTGCCGAACGACAAGTTTTATTTTTGAATCTTAAGACAAAGTTGTGGGCAGTATGAGGCTGTTGTTCAGTCTCGTATTATATGAGGCTGAAACAGCCTCATATTGCCTACATTTTGGAGCCGAGTCCGCCCTTCAAGACTTCATATTCCATTTCGAGAAGCCGTATGAACATGCATATTTTTGTCAGTTAAAGCAGGAGGGAGGGGGGGGGTTGTAACTGGACCCTCTTCAAGGGGGGGGGGTCGTACTCACACTGCCAGTTCGCACATCCCCATGCTGTACCCTGTCTACGAGCAGATCAGGGGCTTGGCTAACAAGGTTAGCGCCTACTTTGGCCTTCGTATCCAAAAGAGAAGCGCCCGTTTCAAAACCCCACTTCATGTTTCATTGCCTGATATATTAACGATGCTTTGCGGTCTGCTCTACGGCGGCGTTCATACTGCGCGACAGCAGCGGCGATCGCCGCGATCACGGGTACGCGACGAGCGCGCCCCAACGCTACTACATGGACCGCTCCGGTTGCTATTAGGGAGAATCGGCTTAATTTCGTGCCTTTTTCTTTTAATTAGTTTGATAATTTTAAACTTTTAATTAACTTAATTGTGTTAGGAACTAAAGCTTGTTTCACTAAGGGAAGGTGGACCCAACCTAATGGCTTTTTTCTATGTTCTTCTTCGATTTAGAGTAGAAATGAGCAGAAGGCGTGAGGGTTTGAGGTGAGTTTCTTATTGTTTCTTTTTCAAAAAGTCTCCTCCCCCCTTGATGTTGCTAAAAGAATTAGCGTTTTGATTCCTAGGTGGGTTTCATTCCGTTTTTTTATTTTTCGTTGTTTGCACTTGCCTTGTAAACTTACATGTTTTGGAAGCTAGATCAGTTCAGCCTATAGGAAACTTTGAAGACACATATAATTTGAAACAAGGTAAACAAAAGAAACAATACGAATCTTTGAAGCTGTTCTCGTTTGATAATCTTGTTTACCGCTGCAATGCGCACTCCGAAAGTTATCGCAAGTACGCTGAGACATTGGCAAAAGTCGGACCCGGGACGGACCCGAACCCGCATCTCCCGCTTAAGGGTGGTTGCGTTATCCATTACGCTCTGGGGCCACTATTGCCTTCTCAGCTCAGTGGCATTTTTGTGCCATAGCCCACAGCACCCACACGTTCAACGTGATATCCGGTTGGCCTATATTGGCAGTAGAGCGCGAGGCTGAAGGCTTTTACATGTTCTGGAGCTGTTCTCGTTTGGTAACTGACGTTTACCACCGCAATGCACGCTCCAAAAGTTATCGCAAGAATGCCGAGATATTGGCAAAAGTCGGACCCTCCTTCTCAGCTCAATGGCATTTTTGAGCTGAAATGCAATAGTGGCTCCGGTAGCCAGATGAAGCTCACCTAGGAAATGAGCTGCCCTTATCTTGACCTCAAAAAAGCTGAATCCACCTTCCTCATATTTCAGATCCTCTTAAGTACAGAAAGTCGTAAGTGTTTAGGTAGTAGCCATTATTAGGAGAAAAAAGATTTTGCAAGTTTGATTTCCTCATTTATCAAAGCAATCCAAGAAAGAGCGTTGGAGCGCGTCTGGCGTACCGACGATCGCGGTGATCGCTATGATCGCGTATGGACGCTGCCTACATGAGAAGAGATGGACACGTGTTTCGAAATACTCAACACGCAACGCACGAGCACATTAGGCTGACACGGGAAAAACTATTCGACAATGGGCTTCTATTTCTTGCCATACAAGGCTCCAGGACGGCTATGCTTTCTAGAACGAACTTCAGTAGGATAGTAGAGACGGTTGGTGGGTAGCCATAGATTGCTTCGATCCTTTCAGGCCCTTCAGGGGGAAGGAGGCGATTCCGCAAGCGTACGCAAATAGAGTTGATTTATCAACTCAGTGTGGAGCTGAAGCTAGGTACCTTACAAAGCAACACAACGCCGAGGTTTATGTAGAATCGCACATGGCGAGATTAATAGCTTTGCTACGGGTTCTCATGCTTGGTATCGAGAACTCGCTCAAAAAATATGCTGGTTTCGACATCACTCCATAATCGATCATGTAAGCCTCATATAGGGATACCATGGGATAGCGCAGGATCCAACGAATCGTTCGCTGACTCTCTACAGTATAACACTGTAGAGAATCAGCGAACGATTCGTTGGATTCGAGCGATTTGTTGGATCCTGCGCCATCCTATGGTATCCCTTGTGAATGGACACCTAACAATGCAGTTGGAGAATACATGGGAAAAAAGATGTATTCATGGGAACCCTTTCGCCATCCTTGTACAACCGCTTTGACCGGATTCTTTATACAGTGGCAAAGAGATGAGATGAATATTTGCGTAGGAATTCAGGATCATGTGATGTGCAAACTGCTCTATGTTAGCAATTTTAAGGTGGTGTACCCTGCAGATAATCAGAAGTCATTGCTTCGTGTTGTACAGGGGTCAGTCAAAAATAGGCCTACGCACCCACTACACCACGTTGTGTTCTCCGTTTCGGGTGAGTTCGTCCTATGGTAATTTGAACTCTTTGATGGGCTTTACGAATCTCAATTATTATAGAGGCGGCGCATGCTCCGTCGTACAGCTTGTTTCGATCGTCTATTATTGAGGAGGCTGTTGATTTATGTCGTCGTTGTTTGGAATGCAGAATACTCTTCAGATGTTTAGGTTTTCTTTTATTGTGTTTTTGTCACTTAAAGACACATAGTACGCTCATACACATTGAGGGTGTATGAGACTATCAGCCCCCCATATCGTCGCATGTGTCGTTGTCCCCCGCCCAAGCATGACCAGGAATGGAGAATACAGGGCGCGTGGAACACGCTGGTTCCTCCATGCTCCGCCCACTGCCTTTTTACGGCGCGGATTCCCCGCCGTTCATAACATCCGTCGTAAGCGCGCCTGTTGCGTGCGGGCTCCTTGCAGTTTGCCTAGTCCTTTAATTCGCTCTCAAATACAAGTAAATGCAGTTTCCTGATGCGGATAACACTGGAGGTGCTACAAAATAAGAACAGAAGATGATGACAAGGGGCAGAACTCAAGAGCAACTCGGCTGCATTTGCAGTATCCATCAAGGGCCGCGCATTCCCACAAAGCATGAAAATAAAAACAGCCCAAGCGTCCCACTCGTTTGTTCTAAGTATTTCCAGGCTTTGGCGCTGGATCGTAGGAATTTACAGGCCAGTTTATCTAATTTGCCTTTCCTTGGTTTTTTCATTTTTGTTTTGTTTACATTTACATCGCTGTGCTTCATTTCTAGCCTGTGTCATCTTCATCTCCTTGTACATGCATTTTGAAGCATGAGCAACACCTCAAATTTTATTTGCATCAGGAAATTGCGTCTTGCTTGTATTAAACTAACAAGTGCCGTTTTTATTTTCATGTTTCGTGGAAATACGTGGCCTCCGAGGGATGTTGCAGAAGTGGCACAGTTGCTTTCAAGTTCTGACCCTCGTCATCATCTTCTGCTCTTATTTTGTAGCACCTCCAATGTTATCCGCACCAGGAAATTGCGTTTTCCTTGTATTTGAGAGCGCAATTAAAGGACTGGCAAAGTGCCAAGGAGCCGCACGCGACAGGCGCGCTTACGACGGATGTTATGAACGGCGGGAATCTGCGCCGTAAAAAGGCAGTGGGCGGAGCATGGAGGAATCAGCGTGTTTCACGGCCCTGTGTCTCCATTCCTGGGCATGTTTGGGCGGGGAACCACGACACATCCACATCTGAGGGGCTGATAGTCTCATACACCCTCAATGTGTATGAGCGTACCATGTGTCTTTAAAGAAACTGCGATATTCATGTAGATTTGAGTTATTTTCTTCATTTTTGTGGTAACCCTTCCACACTCTTCCGTATACAGGAGGGGCAAAAAAAGACTTTTTTCTTCCTTGACTTTCGAGGCGCTATAAGTTAACTTTCTCAAATTCTTATGGGACACTTCTACCACCATATTAAAGAGCATATTGAACACTATCATGAACTCCGCCACAGCCTTATGGACGAACGCCATCGAGAGATTCTGCCACACGACCGTGAGTGGGTGCCTTATTTCAGCGAGATCGTTGAATTCTCCGCCACCGTAGACCACCCTATTGAACTCCGCCCAAACCAGGTAATTGAGGGGTTTAGGTCAGGTGACCTGCTTAGATATTCAACCTTCTTCAGGTAAACGCCCTTTGATTCCATGTGGTGTCACCCAATCCTGTAGCAGTACAAAGTTTCCAAGAAGGTGCGGGCGACGACATGTGGAGAGGATATTCTTCTCGAGTTGCTCAATGTAACCGCCAGCGCTCACCTTCAGTCCGGGGCCCACAAAGAAAATATCGCTCTCTCCATTCCAGGTACGTCCGGTTCCCATCATCAACTCGCGCCTTGGCGACTGAGGTGAAGATGATGCCCTACACCGTAGACGTTGACGGAGCTGCTCGATGCTGGAGGTCTCCCAGATCAAGAGTACTGGTCTCCAGGTAGCTATCCATGGGCGACAAGAAGTTTCGAAGCTGTTTGGAGGTGACGTGAACTTCAAAGGTCTTCTCCAGTCAGACTACTACTGGAGATGACTTCATATTTTGGTGTACATGAAGTTGATGGATGAGAGCCAGCTCCTGCTTATCGAGAACATCTTGGGTATCTTCCGCCCTGGTACTCGTATCCACGTCCTCTATCTGGGCTGCGAAAACTTTGCTGATATGTGACTCAGTCGAAATGTTTTTTTTGCCCCCCCCCCCCTGTATGCTGCACTTTTTGCACTGACGCTTTGTTGCCTTCAGTACTCTTGCGCAAGGTTTCAGATCACTCAAAGGATCCAAAGAAATCCATTCATGACTTGGTGGCGAATTTGCGGCGGTATCCTCTTTACCGAATGGTCCACATTGCTATCTCGTGTGATCGTTTGGATTTATTCTCTGATTCCAATATCCAATATATAAACAACGAATATAAGCCTTTCAAGAGGTGAGCACTAGCCAAATTCCCCATCGTTGAACTCTGTTTCCAATATTTTTTTTCACTAGGCTTTGTACTATTTACGGTTCTGCGCGTTGCTGACCACGGCTACCTCCTAATTAGGGAAACTGCGCCCGAGTCGCTCATCGTTAAGGCTGAGCTCTTATTTTTGGTTTGACCGCAGGGAAAAAAAAGAATTCCGCTCGGTAGCGTGTAAGCCTTGGGGGTCTATCGTTCACAACTGATTCTTGTCAATAGGTCGGTCCCCTACTCGTTTTTATTGGTGTACACGTAACTGATACTTTTACCTGTAACAGTATTTGGTAGGTAACACGACACTATCTATTTCTGCAGCGCCTCCATCCTTACTCTATGTTACATTGGCGGTCACCGACCTACGTAAAGCGGATTTTTTCCGTCACTATCATAAGGTAGAGGTTTAAAGTCGAGCAAGAGAATTTGTTGCGACGCGGTCCTGTCCGCTATGAAGTTTGCGCGTCAGTGGCTAAGACAGGGCTCGCGTCGTGTATTGACTGGTTCGCCTGTGTAGTGGAGAAAGCTGCGTTCGCATTTAGTTGTCATGCGGAATGGTGCGGTCCTTATCCCCTAGGCTTACTGGGCGTCCGTCTAGCTATTAGGTTGTTGCATAAGTTCTTATACACGTGTTTGATATTCTCCTATTTCGTTCGCATGGATGTTGGTATTACGTTGTCATACTTATTACGTTGGTGACGTGTACATTATACTCTTTCATTACACTAGCTATCACTCACCGAGCTTGCATTTGCAGTACACAATGTCGCACAATTTGCGCTGTGAAAATGTACCTGCGCCGCTGTTTGGTTTTGCTCCACGATTTCGGCTGGAATGCAAAGGAAGCCCATACCAAGCTGGTGGATACATACGATGAGGGCGTCATCTCTTGCATGACAGCAAGAATTGGTTCGCCAATTCAAGAAAGGAGACTTTTCTCTCGAAGATGCTCCGTGGTCGGGTCGGCCGATGGAGTTGGATTTGGAAGTACTACGTTCCACCGTGGAGGAGGACCCGTACCTCACCACCAGGGTAAAGGCGACCATGCTTAGCTATAATCATTCGACGGTTGCACGTGGGTTAGAAAAGCTCGGTAAGGTAGCAAAGCTTGGTCGATGGGTCGTTACGCTAACACATCCGCGCGCGACGTCGCGTGCAGCTCCTCTGGCTTTTTGCCCAAAGTCTGTAATTGCGGCTTTGGAATACAAGTACAACGCAATTTCTTATGAGCGGATCACATTTTTAGGTGCTGCAAAATTAAGAACCGAAGATGATGGCAAGGGCCCTAGAACTCAAGAGGCAAGCTGTGGGCTGGCTTCTGCAATATCCCGTCAGAGGCCCGCGCATCTCCTACAGAACATTCACAACAAAAGTCATGACAATACCAGCAAAACGGGGCATGCAATTTCCCTAACATTTGGAGGATTGCTCATTGCTTCAAGTGCCGAAATAGAAGGTGATGAAATGACAAGGCCTAGAAACGAACAAACAACGACATGTAGATGTAAATAAAAAAAATGAAAAACCTAGGGAAACGCAAACTAAGATTAAAATCGCCGTGTTGCATTTCTTGCGATCCGGCTTCGAATGCCGAGCTCTATATGCTATTAGAAAATACTTCAAACTAACACGGACGCCGTTTTTATTTTGATGTTTGTGAGAATGCGGCGGCCTCCGAGGGCTGTTGGCAGAAGCGAGCCAGAGTTGGCTCTTGAATCAGCCTCGTCAATCATCTTCAATTCTATTAACCAGAACCCTAAAACGTTGTCCGCATAAAGAAATTGCGTTGTACTTGTATTCCAAAACGCAAATTAAGGCAGGACTTGGCGAAAAAGCCAAAGAGAGCTGCACGGCGATTGCGCCGGCGCGGTCCGCGGTGTTAGTACAGACGTGAGTTTGCAAAAACGAGA